TGTCATGCTTTCTTTCTTTTTTTGGGCCGAATAAGTGGGTCTCATCAGGGATGGCAATTGTCTGATTTGGGGCCAGGTATGGTAATACCATTCCGGTTTCAGCTTTTTATCTCCTACAAGTATTTTCGGAGAATCTCTGTCCCTATCCCCGTCAGGAGGCTTTCCCCCAAATCTCCTAATTTTTTTGCTTTAAAAAAAAAAAATACTTATCCTACATTATAACACTAATTTCACCTTAAACTATCAAGCACATTTAATTAACCTATAAAATTCAACTAAACTACTCACAACCATCTCAATTAAATTTGACAAAACTAATTAAAAATTAAATTATATATTTATTGATTATATTATATTATAATAATACATAGTTATATTACATGTATATTACTTATCGGGCCGAATTCTCCATTTTTGGCCTGTATATAATAGGGAATTAAGATATGGGGATTCCCGTACTTGTCCCCAATTTTCTCCCAAAATCTCCTCTCGTTAGGAACGGAGACCCAATAGATATTTTTGTCATCCCTCTATCACGCCCTTCATATTTTACAAATATTTCACCTCAATTTTAGGCTGTCTATATTTGGTGGTGTGTGTGTGGAAGAAGCAAGTCTCATGCCTTTCATATTTTTCATAGATATTTCACCTCCATTTTAGGCTGTCTCTGATGACCCTCTACATTTAATATTACATAGACAAAAAACTATTGAAAGCCAAATTTGTTCAATCCGCATCCTATTAGACAAAGTAATCAGGTCCCCAACATGCATTATTTTTAGTGAGATTGGCTGTGGCCCTGCCTCTCTCCCATCCAATATTAACAAATAATGTATACTTTGCAAAATTATGGTGATAACAACAGCATAATAATAATAATAATATCACAAGTCAAATTGCATAGCTTATTGGCTAGTTGACCTAGTAGGATTTAGCAGCAAGCACCCTCAATTAATTTCTCTGTGCGTCATGCAATCAAGTATGTGTAGCAACTTGCACCCTTTAATTAATTTTGTGTAGCAACTTACGCCCTTTAATTAATTTTATTCAGGCTTATTTGTCTTTCTATAAATATATAACATCGTCTTGGTTGTTCTGTTCACCGGAGATATAGCTTGCTATAAACCCAAAGCCAACCTCTCTTCCTGCAATATATTTTCCATGGCCGCTGAACCTAAGATCGTATCATCAAATTATCCCATGAGCCTACAGTTTGACCTGGATGAAGCTTTGAGTTGGGAAGACAATTCCAATTCCACACTCTTGAATAGTAATATCAGCATTAATATTGCAGCACCAAATCCAAACTCAAACTCGCTCATGATCCTAGAAAATATGCCAACTCCTCCTCCTGCTGCTGCTGCAGTTGATGATGTTTGTGCGGTTTGCATGGAAGGCTTGCAATCAGGTTCTGATGATGAGGAGGAGGATGATCAGAATCAGAATCACAAGGGTAAGCTAGTGCCATGTGGCCATGTATACCATGCCACGTGTCTTGCCTCCTGGCTCTTCGTCTGCAATTCTTGCCCTCTCTGCCGCTCCACTATCCACCTCAGATGATCAATTTTGCACTAGTTTCTTGTTTGTATGTAATTTCTAGGTCTGGTTTGTAATGTTGAAATGAAAAAGGCTTTTGGTTTAGTTTGTTAAGTCTAGAAAACTCTATAACCTTTATGTGTTTTTTTCTCCTATGATTTTAGAAACTTAGTTGAGTTTGTCAAGTGTTCTTAGTCTCTCTAGGAGCCGATTAGCTAACGGCTAATTTTTCATTGATGTCAATGGACTAGACTATGGGAAATTATGGCAGTTGAAAGTGGTTATAAGAAAGTTATTTTCGAGAGTGATTTTATCCATATCATTTCAACTTTTCGACTGGCTCAGATTACTGGGAAGTTTTACCCATGTCTGTCATATTATTATTGGGTTTACACCCTTTACAGTCTATAATCCTTTGTACTCTTTATTCTTATTAATCTAATAAAATTCTATCGCAATTAAAAAAAAAATTATAATGAACCATTTAATTGTACTTCCTAATCTTTACTTCATATTGATTGTATTAATATATAACCTTTAATATCCTTCCTTATATATATATATATATATCTTGTTCTTATTACAAATAACATTTGTTTATTTATTAACAGAACACTAATAATTTCGGTAATCAAGTTATCTGCCCGAAATATGTGTTGATAGATCATACAACCACTAAAAGTTGGGCCTATTACAGACCGTCACATGGTCATTTCCTTGCTAGGTTACACATATACCGACCCGACCATGATGGTGTTGTTTATGACCAGGGGCACATTGATGACCTGTAGGCTAGATTGGACCCCTGTCAGGTCAGTCACTCCACCCACCTGATGGAACAGCCTAGCGAAGGGAAGAGATCATTTAATACGCCTCTCATCCGAAGTCATCGCTTCACCACCTGACCCCTGCCGGATAGCAACATCGAAGTGGTTATATTATTTTTGTATTATAACTAAAAACTTTACATAATTATTAAAATTACCAACAAAAAAAGAAAAAGAAAAGAAAGCCTTTAAATAAAAGGAAACATCGAAATGGTTATATTATTTTTGCATTATAACTAAAATGGAAACATTTAAATTTTTATGAATTTGATTTCTGATTATCATTACATATATATTGATTGGTGACTTTTAGTTATAAAAAAAATGTTTATGACATTAAGTTATGGAAATTTTTTATTTATAGTATTTTCGTATTAGATTATGTGATGCCCCAATTTAAGTTGCGCACAGGGCCCTCAAAATCTCAGGGACGGCCCTGATCAGGACATGCCATTAAATGTGAATTCAGCCCCACTAGTGGGAAGGGAAGTAAATATCTTCTTCCTCAAAGATATCCCAGTCTCTCATTCTTCCCCTATAAATACCCATCACCTATCTCTGGAGAAAGATAATAAATAGTTCAACCTGATAAACCCAACATCCATTTACTCCACCATCAAATAGCTTCTGACTCAACCATCGAAGGGGGCTCAATTGGGACCAACCCCAGTTCGCTCCTATTCTGATACTGTTCCTGGTGTGTAGGTTTCTTCCAAAAAGCAACCCCTCTAGAGGGCCAGGTATAAGCCCGGGCCTTTACCCGAACTTGAGTCACAATACATATGAAGTGGATACGCTGTTTACAATATGATCATCAAATTCCCGTTGTACACATGATCACAAACGAAACTATTCATTTTCTACATCACCAATTAAAAATCATCTCCAATTATTAATTTTTGGCATAGATAATCTACACATTATGATTTAGGAAATCAATGGTTATGGTTCATGTTTATACCAAAATGAATAGCTTATAGGAACCAGACACGTGGACAAGATTGAGCTTGACAACGGTAGCCTTCGACACCCAGCCTACCGATTCAATGATTAGGGCAACCTCCTTCTCCAGGACACGTGGCAGGCCCACAATCGATGTTTCTAGTCCCACATCGAAATTCTACACAACTTGCACACCTCCCAAGGTCTATAAAGAAAGCACAATTCCCCAAAGAAGGAGGTAATCAGAACTTACGGCATACTGCTATTAATCTGTCAGTTTAAACTTACTAAATCCGCACTTACTCAAGTATCGGAGAGCCTTCGGCCAGTACCATACCAGTGCCCTTAGGTCTAATCGAGCATTCGTTATCTTGCAGTTCACAGGCCCCACCGAGGCCCAAAGCATACCGAAGGCCCAACATCACTAAGTTGAGCGGAAGAAGCGCTGAACTATTTTTACGCATCAACATGTTCCAATTGTAACATGTTTACATAATATAAACTCGCTAATCACAATTCGGATGAGCTAAGAAGGTCTACTTCAATGGAAACGGGCTTTGATTTGTATACCAGTGATCTTAGGTTTGAATTCCTATGTCACTTTGGTAGTGTTTGTGTGGAAACTCCCCTCCCTTTATAGTTTAAACCATCTCTTATATTAAAATAATAATAATCACAATTCGAATGAACAAGAAGGAGCACCTAAATATTGTTCTCAAGTCCATTCCATTAAGTAATATGCATAGGCATGAACTGATCAGCAAGTCAGTAGTACTGTGAAATCAGGAGCTTGTTCAAGGTATAGATTATTATTATATACATATATAGAAAGGCATAGAAGGTCAACTTTAATAAATTAGTATTCCCACCACCATTATTATATAAATTGAAGGATAAAATCAGAGGATTAGTTTTGTTTTTCTGGGTTTCGTAGATTTTATGATTATCTTTGTGGAAGATAATTCAAATCAAGCATCATGGTATTGATCATCTCTATTGTCTTTATGTCATTATGGAAAGTAAACTTGTTTGACATAGTTAAAAAGATAAAGACAAATATGATTTGATCTGAGCACCACCCATCACCATTGTCACCATTGCCATCACCATCATCATCCTTTAATCAATGCCGAAGAACATCATCTTATCAATAAACAAATTTAGCAAAGTTGACTATAGCGTCTTTGCTCTACACTCTGCACCTAAGTTCGAATCCCTCTTTCCATATTTTAAATTCGTTTAAAGTAGCTTATTACTTATATAAAAAATATATATTTAGAAATTAGAGGTGTGCACAATCTGATATTCCTAAAATGAAAAACCAAAGCGATGATAACAGATGGGGAGAAAGCCCAGGCCTCACATGTCTTTGGCCCAAAATGAATACCACTGGGTCACTACTGACTTACAAAAGGGAAAAATGGGCCGCTGACCCAATTGCTTGATACTGAATCTGTTTTTTTTTTTTTTTTTGTTGGGTTCGAAAATTGCTTGCTGCTGGATCATTTGTGTGAAAACATAACAAAAATAGAATTTTTATTTTTTACTTTTATTTATTTATTGAGGATGATAATTTACCTAAAAATGAAGGTTTTGCAACCAGTCAAATAAGGAGGAGGACCATCACGCCACCGTGCCACGTACAAATTACTCCACTTTTTTTGGTAAAAAAATTACTCCACTTTTAGCTGCAGACAAAGCAACCGAATAGAAAATACGAGAAAACAGAGAGAGGAGAGTACAGTGCAGTCAAAGCCTCCATACTTAATTCTTGGCGGTTCAGTTTCTCCGGAAATGGAAAACCAAATCGCAAACGGTGCTGGTAAAGCTGTAAGAGCCTCCGCTCTCAATTGTATCGATCTCTCAAGCTCCGATATACACCAATCTGTCTCCTTACTGAAACAGGTTCGTTCCACTTCAGCTTTCCGACTTTTCTATATTTTTTTCATTAAAAATATCTGGCAAGTGAAGAAAACTACTGATGACTTGTATAAATGAATCAAATTCTGGGTTTAGGCCAGTTTGGATTGCGGTTTTTTCTACGTGGTAAATCATGGGGTAAGCGAGAAGTTCATGGACGAGGTGTTTGCACAGAGCAGGAGGCTTTTCAGCTTACCATTGAGTGAAAAAATGAAGCTTTTGAGGAACAAGAATTACAGGGGATATACCCCTTCTCTTGATGAGCATCTGGACCATGAAAACCAAGTACACGGTTTGTTTATATCACTCAGAAACGCACTTTCTGGTTGTTTTTGCTTCATTGGAATTCTAGGTCTTTGTTCTTGTTTTGTAAAGATTGGTTCTTGTTCATTGAGTAGGAGATTACAAGGAGGGGTATTATATAGGAGTTGAGCTGCCTGAAGATGACCCAGAACCGGAAAATAAGCCATTTTATGGGCCTAATGTTTGGCCTGCTCCAGGTAACCAACTACAACAAGTAGAATTGAATGGCGGATTTCTGGCACCACTTGGTTTTGTCACTCATATCAGTTTTCTGATTGACTTAATTTTGTGCTCTTTTTGTTATCATGGATCATTGAGGATGTACAAGTGGAATTGCGTTTCTGATCTTCTTATACTTTTTGTTGTCCTTGTAGATATGTTGCCGGGGTGGAGAGACTCCATGGAGGAATATCATAGACAATGCTTGTAAGTTGCACTCTTGTAATTGGCAACTCCATACATATGTTTAATAAGATGAGAGTACCCGTGCATAGGTGTCCACAAGCATGTGATCAATATTCCTCCCCCATTAGACAATGCTTGTAAGGATATTCTCAGCAGAATTTCGTAGTGTCCAATTGCTATGAGAATATCCTTTATGTTAATGAGAAGGTTGTTTAGGACACTAAGGTCAGCCCAACTGCCATCTCAAGGCTTTTCAAAACTTTTTACGATCCTTTTCCATCTTTCCTTTAGATTAGTTCATTCTAGAATGAATGATTGACATACGCTGAATTGAATTGTTTTCATGTACATCATTTCAGGGAGGTGGCTAAAGCAGTTGCTAGGCTTGTAGCCCTTGCTCTTGATCTAGACATCCATTTCTTTGATAAACCAGAAATGATTGGCGAGGCTATTGCAACATTGCGGTTACTACACTATGATGGTCAAATTTCAATCAAATTTTTTCAAACCTTAATACGAATCCTACAATTAGTTTAACTAATGATATGGTGTTCATTTTTTATATAGGTCAAATTTCCGATCCATCAAATGGAATTTTTGGAGCTGGTGCTCATTCTGACTTTGGTTTTATAACCCTTTTAGCAACAGATGATGTCGTAGGTCTCCAAGTAAGAAGGCTGCTGTGAATTTCAGCTATATTACCATTATTAAGAAGGCAAGTATAATTGTTGCATTACTAATTTGTTATTCCATCCATATTTCTTTGCAGATATGCAAGGATAAGGATGCTAAACCTCAAATATGGGAATATGTACCACCAATTAAAGGGTGAGACTTTCTACCCACTCATGGAGATTGATAGCATTTGAGTGGCTAAGTCTGGCTGAATCATATGTGATGTAGTTATATCCTTGTTTGCAACATATATGGTCCGTTAAGACTGTTTTAACACTTTGCATAATTTAGCTTCATTACTGGTAACATGTTTTGAAGCTTTCACGATATAGAAGAGGAAAATAACATATGCCGCTGTATTAACAAATATAATGCAAAATCATCTTTTTAATTCATAGTAGTGACAAATTTTTAATTTTCTGTTTATTCTTTCAGAGCATTTATAGTGAATCTTGGAGACATGCTAGAACGCTGGAGCAATGGCATTTTCAAGTACTGCACATCTCTTTTAGTCATAACCCTAGTCCAACCTCCAAACTACATATATGCTCATAGAAGATGAATGCTGGCAATTTCTGGAGCTGCACAATTCATTTTGCTCTTTAAGTATGTGCAATCTCCTTTTGGAATTTTTGTATTCAACTATTGTGTGACAGATGCTCCTGCTTTGGTTTTGTACTCAGGTCCACGCTGCATAGAGTTGTAGGGAATGGTCAAGACAGATACTCTGTATGACCCCTTCTCTTTTCCTTTTATGTTTCATGGTATACTAGGCCTTTTGATTATGCATAAGATTCTGTTTTGTCTCTCATCTGATTCAAATGGTATACCTTCGATTTCACTTATTATATATGTGCCTTACTTGTACATGGGCTCAAATCCTTTACTTTTATGGGGTGGGTGGGGGGTTCTACATGGTATCCATTATGTTCACTTTCATATATAGCTCATTCTTTTATCTTACCAGTTACAGCGCATTCTTTTCTTTTTAATGGACTTCTCATTTTCTTCTTTTCTTGGGCAGATGGCATACTTTATAGAACCTAATCACGATTGTCTTGTTGAGTGCTTGCCTACCTGCAAATCCGAAAAAAACCCTCCCAAGTAAGTTCTGACCACAAATATTATGCTAGCACAATTATATAGTAATTTTAGCAACTGAAAACATTTAAAAATAAAACATGGCAATCTTTCATCTCTGTTTAAAAACGGTTGATAATTTTAAGATAATTGTTATATGGTAATCTCTGAATTATGTTGATCTATATTCGAATCTCATTGGCCTTACGGAGTAGTAAGGGACCTCAGTTGAATGAACGAATACTGATGGGTTCATTACATCATCTGACTTTATAGGAAATGCATCACCTTTAAAGCATGTGGCCAGTAGAGTAGATAAGCATTTGAAATGATGTTCTTTCGGTTCATGCTTGTCTGCATTTGCCTACTATGCCAGGTTTCCTCCAATCTTGTGTCGGACTTACCTGAGCCAGCGATATTACGATACTCACGCTGATTTGAATGTCTATGATGAACATACAAAATAAGTTTGCCACCGCTCCTGCAATTGAAGATGAATCCCCTTCTAAGATAGCATAAGATTCATATGGTTTTACCATTGTTGTATTTGATAATGTGTTCCATCAGTGCTCAAGTTGTATTCTCATGTAAATCCATAGAATGTGTCCAATGAAAAACATATCCCTGCCTCTAAATTAATGTACTGCATCTGCATAGTTGACTTCTTGGTCAAAGAAAAGGCTGTAGGAAGTCAGTCAAGGATCAATAAATTTTATTTATTTATTTATATAAGCTACATTTACCATAACAATAATTGAACAAATCCACTCCCTGAAAGGATTACTTGGCTTTTAGCCATGTTAGTGGCATAACAATGGTGGGGGAGGAGTGTGCTTTCTTTTTCCCTCTCCATGTCAATAATTGTCGAAAAAGATAACAAAAGTTAGCAAAACGACCCATCCGTCACATTTTCTTTTTATGTTTGTGCTACCTGTATTATCACATTTGCTTTGAGTCCTGGGGTGAGATCCAACAGTCAAAATCAATTCATCAAAAGAATGGTGACTGGCTACCATCGTCATGCATTTGAGACACGACTGTAGACTAAATGACGACTTTCAAACGCATGAACAAGATCACCAAATGCGAGGAGTGGGGCGTAGGAGCTGTTCTCCAATCCAATAAGTGAAATCCCTTCCCAATAACAGGTTACGCATTACATGATATGACATCTCTCACAATAACAAATCACGTGATACGTAGCTGTGAAAGAGACCATATAGTATCATGTTCAAATTTTTTTTTAGAAATCTAAGCACTTGACCAATGGAAGCAATAAAATTGCAAGAAACAATATAAGCTGTAAATGGATTTCAATTACATGAACTGATCACATGGTGGGAGGTGGAGATGGGGATGATACAATTAGCATATTTATTTGAATTTAGAAACAGAGGGTTTACAAGCATCTCCTTAACTCATTTTAAGCACCATCGTCACCAAGTGACATAACACAACAGTAATAAAAACACCATGCATCTTCAGAAAACACCCATTTAAAAAGAAGTTTGATATTAAACTTCTAAAATGTGGAGCAACACACTGTTCAACGGTAGTTTCGATACACAGGGCTGTACATGCAACTCTCAGCATACTTCACAAGATTCTCAGGACGAGGGAGACGTGTAGCCAGGCCTACAAAGCGTACGATGAAAACAAATTACAAATGGATGGAAGAAGTGACATTGTTTTTGGGTCAGAACTCAGAATATACCAAAGAAAAGAAATATATAAAAAAGGCTCACCAAGTTCATATGCCTTAGCAGCTACGTTAGCAGCTATATGAGCAGAAATCTTTCTGATGTTGGAAAATGGTGGATAAATCAGCCCTTTCTCAAAATACTCCTCTGAAACTTCCCCCGCCAACGATTCCGCTGTTTTTAGGAGATGAACCAAAAAGTTGAAGAAAGAGTAAATGCAAAAGTCAATGTCTTGCCAACTAAACCTCCTATATTACAGTTGATTACAAGATTTGTGTTTGGCCTGTTTTGACAACATAATGCCATTCAAGTTCTAAATTCTATGTTTTTTCAAAATCAAACCATTCTGAATGTGCAGTCTACTTACAGGCTGCCAGAAGCATATCATTGTGCACACGGATTGCCCCAGAGATAACCAAACCAAGACCAAATCCAGGGAAAATGTAAGCATTGTTGGACTGCATTGAAAAGGAAAGCAAAAAATCTCAGTCATTGATACTAAACTCATGGTTTTAAACTTGGTCTTAATACTGTGAGATTATATTTGTATAACCTGGCCAGGAACATAAACTTTGCCATTGTATTCAACAGGATCAAATGGACTTCCGCTGGCAAAAATTGCGCGTCCCTAGCGAATGAAAGCAGGACAAGAAACATGGAAGAAAAGTTAGCTTCACTGCATAAATGGAGTACTCAAAACATTCTATTTATTGTATCACTTTGTGCTATAAATCCCCAAGCAAGTAATGACAGATCAGATGTAAAAATAAATGTTATACCTTACTCCAAGTATAAGCTTCTTCAGCAGTACATTCAGACTGAGACGTCGGGTTGGAAAGAGCCAAAATGAGAGGTTTCTGCATCATTCATTTCTCAATGTCAATAAAACAGATGCTCAAAATGTTATCCAACATGAACAAGACGATAGGCAGGGGATGGATGTAAGAGAAAGTGAGGAGTACCTCATTGAAGGAGGATACTGCCTCAATCACTTCCTTTGTAAACGTTCTTCCAACACCGGATGATCCAATAAGAACTGTTGGTTTAATTGCCTGATCAAGTAAGAAGGGAGAATAAAAAACAAGTATAATCAAATAATTATGCATCAAAACTCAAAAAATAAACTTGAATTGTTTGGTTCATACCTTGACAGCATCAAGGAGATTATCAATGGGTTCATGTTCGTGAGCCCAAGGCTTCTTAAACTGTTGAAGAGAATCTTTGCGAGAGCTAACAATTAATCCCTGCAAAAATGATTCATGTGCTTAATGAAGTTTGAGAGAAAGTAAGAAGACTTAAAAGTGAAAGTCAGAATCTTTATCGAGCATGCTACCCCACCTTTGAATCAACAAGCCAGATCTTCTTACGGGTCTCTTCCACAGGAGTTTTTGTCTACAAGAGACAAAACAAAACAAAAAACAAAATAAACGAAGGAAGATCATTGATAAATCATGACCAGAAGTCCTTTACATCTCAGTTTGACAATTACATTAACCAGAGATAGCGTGCATCTGATTGTAAAAAGTCAATACCTTTTGTGAGATCTCAAGAGCTATTAGCTCTGCAATACCCGTCCCAGCCTACAATCATGAGCAACAGCAGGATGAGAATTGTATATTAGAGTTAGATTATTCTTAGTTCTCCTTAGTTAAGGACATGATAAGCCAGCAATATGTAGTGAAGACAGAAATCCATGAAAAAATTCTTACTTCCCCAGCACCAAGGAACAAAAACTTGTGCTCGGACAGGCTACCACCAACCAACCTCAGTGCTGCCACAACTCCTGCAAGAACTACAGCAGCTGTTCCCTGAAACAAGGAAACAATAGGTCAGGGGGAAACTAAACAAAGTGTACAAGCCGTAAAGGCTAAAGAGCAAGCTCAAAAGTGATCTACTGTGTACCTGTATGTCATCATTGAAGACAAGATGAGTCCTCCTATATTTTTCAAGCAGCTGGAAAGCATTGTGGTTTGCAAAATCTTCAAACTGCACATTTCAATTCAAAGGGACAAGACAATCTCAGAACTACATGAAAATTTTATACTCTCGAAATCCTACGAATATATTTTATACTCTGGAAATCCTATGAATATATAGGATGTTATTTAAGAAGCAACCTGAATGACAACTTTTTCCCCATAATTCTGCTTGACAGCACTCATGAACTCATCTAAAAGATCAGCATACTCCTGCAGGTAGTGTCAACAATCTCTCATCATTAAATTAAAATTTATAGTTCTTAATTACATAACTAAACTAAACTAAACTAGAGACAAACTAGGGTACGGTAGAAGCTACAAACCTTCCCAGTTGTCCTCTTTTGTCGAAGTCCAATATAGAACTCATCCTCCAGCAACTGCTTATTATTTGTCCCAACATCAATGGTTATAGGCAAACACTGCAGAAGAAAGTCCAAAGAATTCTTAATTAAATGAAATTTACATGCTGTGATATCAAACAAGAATTTAAATTTCAATCCTTCCTTAATTTCCAATGCAACACCTTGATATTAAAATTTACAAATAAAGGTAAACCTCATGGGTTTGAAGAAAGTTAGCAATGATTAGTAACAAGTAAATAGGAAAATCCTTACCGCTGAGGGACGAACTCCTCCAAGCGCTGTGTACAGAGCCAACTTCCCTACCGGAATTCCCATCCCCTGAAACATGTCCAACAATGCCATGTGAGGGTAAGTTACTTAACCACTTGAGGGTTATTTTACTTTTACCAAAAGATACTCATAATTTAAAGAAAGTGATTCAAACTTGTTACCTGACAACCTAGGTCGCCAAGTCCCAAAATACGCTCACCATCAGTCACAACAATAACTTGAACAGTCCTTTCAGGCCAGTTCTTCAATACCTCAAGAACTTTGCCCCTGTAAAAGTTGAAGGATTTGTCATGTCATCAGAACTTTATGTTGAGAAAACCGAAAAATCACGGTGTAAAGAAATAGTCATACTTCTCTTTCAGGCTTATGTAAAGACCCTGAGGGCGCCTGAAGATGCTTCCGAATTTCTGGCAAGCCTCACCGACAGTTGGAGTGTAGACAATTGGGAGCAATTCCTCCACATTATCAATGAGAAGTTTGTAGAACAGCCTCTCATTCCTCTCCTGTTAACCAAAGGAAACTGAATGATTCTCTCTACACCATTGTTCCAAAGACAAGCAACTCCGCAAAATAGTAAGACAAGTCCCCATTGTCATTTAACACATTGCAGGGATAAATAACACACTTGAAATAGTGTCCATGAATCTTTATGCTAAACCGATACAGGTAAACAGAAAAAACTACCTGGAGCTCTGTCAGAGCCATATATTTCTGCAGTGGGACTTGATATTGTCGGATAGTGTTCATCAACTTCTTCTCCTGGTTAACAAATTTTGGGGGAAAAACATAGAAAATAAACAAGAAGTCAACATTTACCCCAAAAAGTCAACGACTGATGTTCTTGATGAATGAAACAACTGAGCTATGCCATTTTAGACTATCACCACAACACCCTACAAGCTTAAATTAACCATGCCATGAATACTAAGCAAAGCAGAAGGACTAAATTAAATTAATGGAAACCTGAAGTTGTTGAGAGCAAGTTGCTGGAGGCAGAAGACCACGCAAGTAATGGGCGGCCCTCTCTTTCTCCGTAAATGCAAGCCCTTTATTGTACTGGGGATCTCTCAGCAAAGAATATCCACTGCATCAAGAGATTCAAATTCCACCAAAAAAATTTGTATTTAACTTAAAAAAAATTAGAAGTATCAAAGTTTTTACAGGTTTAAGTAAATCATCCAAAAAGTAGAACAGAGATTTTGTTTGGTGAAAAAAGAGAAAAAATTACAACTTGGGTTGCAAGCAAGAATTATAAAACAATCAGGTGAAAAGTAGTGACCTGGCGACGGAGTAAGTCCAAGGGGTGACAAGCTGGTCCTCGGTGGCAGTGTCCTCACCGTAGATGTCCTCAACGCCGCCACCAACAACGGCGGATTTGGGGACAAAGTCAAGCACAGAAGCCTTTTCCCCCAACTCCTTGAAGGCGCTCTCCATTCTTCTAAGTGACCCAATTAATAGCTGAGGATCAGCAACACTCTTTTTCTTACAATTACAACACAGAAAACAGAGTGATCGCTGGAGCTCAAAGCCAGTAGTGAGAGAAGAAGGAGAAGATGCAGTGATCTGTTTTTGAGCTGCAACTCTGTTTTAATAACAAAGCAAACAAACAAGAACCCATGTTACATGTACACCAAAGGCAAGACAAGACTTATGGCTTTTTTTACATTTAAAAGTCTAAAAGGAAATGGAAATTAAAGATAGGGTCATTTTCAATTTAACTAATCATCTTTTTCTCTTTGTTGAATTATTTAGAGAGAGAAAGAGAGAAAAGAAAAAAAGTATAGACGGAGAAGAAGTGTGAAACTTTCTTGTTCAATATGCATGTGGAGGTGGTGGAGATGAATGATACGATTGATTTGGGTGAGTGGGTTCTTTTGAAAGAGATCATTACGCAAAATATCGAGATTAGTGGTTGGTAGGGAAATGGATACGAATAGGATGGAGGAGAGAGATAGAGACATGGTTTTTTGTCTATGTTCGGCGGTGGAGTTGGTGGAAGAGAGAAGATAGAAGGAGACAATAGTTGCAGACAGTGAGAGATTGGGTTTTTGATTTGGATAATGAAGCTTATTGAACAGACGTGTCCAATGGTGGGGCCCTCACATGCACACCCGCCTCTCAATGCCGTGCTGTCTGTAGTATATGCCTTGATTCTAAAATAAATATTTGTAACGGACAAAGTTTTGTTTATATTTCGATTTGGCATGTTATGCCAATACTTCTCTCTCTTTTTTTCAAAAAAATACAAGTTATAAATAAAATAAAATAAAAACTATCAAAGTGCTACAAATGATCAGACCAAAAAAAGTGCTATGAATGATATGCCAAGTGTTATGTATAAAGATTGAAACTTGACATCACTAATCTGCAAACGAAGGCTTTATAATTCTTCTTCTCTTGTGAGCGTTTGACCAGTTTTTTCCTGGTGCTGTTTGAAATCAGATGAGGAGGCTGATGTTTGTGCAGGTTAAGACACGTATGGATTGAAGCATTGACATGTGGTGAATGGTCGTGATTGTTGTGCCTACACGTCCTGTGAACAAACACATCCCAAGGTCCCTATCAAACGTTAACCTCCTCCAAGTAACGTGAACAAGGGTTAGCTAGTATACTACTGTACACACGTGAAGATCGAGAGCTCAGACGGCTCTGTGTCTAGTATTTATTTAGTATTTGCTATTTTTATTAATAATATGATTTATTTGCTCCGTTTAGAGCACGGGAAGGTCTGTTTGTCTTATTAATATTATTCCAAGGTATTGGAAAATTACCAATTGGTCCTTTTACAGAGTAAATGCAATTAAAAACGTGACACTTACGTGTATTTATCCTAAGCGAGAGGCACATTCTTATCGTGTGAATGTCATTATTTTCTAAAATCCACCCATACTTTCCTCCTTATTTATAAAGACACGTGTGAATATCCATATGAGAGAATATATATATATATATATATATATATGTATACACACGTTAATGTTACAATATAATACATACAACATTTCTTGACAATGATTACGGATATTATGGTACACCTAAAATTTAATTTACACTAAGTCCTTCAAAACAGAGAATGAGACTTCAATAGTTCGGGCCCCTTGTTTATTCATATAATACTTGCAGAGGGCTGAACCTGCAACTTTCCACGCAAAGCAGCATTTACTAACAGCTCCTTGACTTATGGCATGGTCATAAGTCACCCGATATATTGCAAGCGCCGCATTGAATATTTCATGCAACGGCCTTGTACTATTCTCAAGGTCCTCAGCACCACCATACAGAATCTACAAATGGGGAAAAGCAGTGAGCAGAACAGGCTCTGGCAAAATGTTTTGTTCATAATCCGGACACTCAAGTCTGAAGTCTCACCTCTTTATACTTTCTGTAGACCTTATCAGCAGCATTATTCTTGCTGTCTCGATCATTGTCCTGCATGGCAGAGCTCATTTCACTCCTGTAATGCTGGTGGTGTTCCCTCCATTTCCTCAAGCACTCCTCAGGGACTTCGACATCGAACATGGGAAGTTTCTTGACTTCTGAAGAGAGGTACAGAGGAAAAATAGCAAGTCAAAAACTTATGGACAGGAGCTTTAATAACCAGCTAATATTAAAAATACTTTTATCACACCTTTGATAGAAGCATCTTCTACGTGATAGGCGTTCACTGTGTCATAAATTAATCCCAAAATGGACGTTGATTTGTACGAGTTTACCCTTTCCATGTAATGAGGGAACTGATTCGACTTCAATTCTTCAGGAATTACCACCTGTTACTCAGAAGTTAAATCAAAGTTTCAAGGCACAGCCAAATCACTTGAAAGGAAGATGTACTTCAAAGATTAAGGATCATGCAAACTGTAAATAACTAGCTACTGATTTCCTATATCGTAAAACAGGAGGAGGATGTGAATGTTCTTCACTCCATGGAAACTAAACAAAGGGTGAACTGAAGACAGACAATGAGTTCCAAACAAATGTGGCAGAACAAATCAAAAGAAACGAAGAGTACCCTTTTCCTAAACCAAACACCATATGTTTAATTGCATACAATAGGTACGCCCACTTATAATAACAACATACCGGAAGAAAGTAAAAAGTAACACCAAATCCCTATTGATACATCCTATTACAAAGCTGAAGCAACAAAAACCAGAACTAACCTTTCCACCTTTTTTTGGTGCATCTAGAGCTTCGTAGTATAAATCAACCAACCGCAGCATGTTTGCCTTCACACGGGCTTTCTCACTATTACTACTATCTCCTAGAATTAACAACCGATCCATCTTAGCCAGCCAGCTATCAGATGCCTCACTCATTGCAAAGCTGCAACAGATGAAATTGTTTGTGCACCAGAAACATAAGATTCACACAGTGGATGAAGTGCTAAATCTGTAGAACAAATGTAATACAAATAATAACACAAGAATAAACAGTACTGTTAAGTGTGAATCATAGCCAGAGAATGCTGTCTCAGTTTCAACAACAAACAGAGATATCCATCATCCAATACCATATCAAGAAGAATGGAAACCATTCAACTTGATTTGACAAATTACATTAAGGTTCAAGTGGGAAGTTAATATTTTAATTTGGGCCCGATAAATAAGCATAGCAATAATTACATACACCAGAAAACAAATTACATTAAGGTTCAAGAATTACCTGATACTTTGTAACAGTCAACAACTTACTAAATTTTAAAACGAAAAATTCTAATTCAAAGTTCAATTTTGCCAATATATTTAATGAACTATGCTTTCGTTACATGCATTTTAGACAATATCAAAAGGTACCACTTAGGCTAAAAGCATTACAAGATTGAGCAAATAGTAACTACAACGCATCAGGAACCTAATTAACCAGAATTTGAATGCAATACAACGCAAATGATTATAAATAGAGTCAAATGCATACCTGGGTTCAAACCTAGTTTTCAAGAATAGTTTGATGAGCGCATCCTCTATATCATTAGGCAAAAGCTCACTGGGTCTAGGACTCGCAACTTTTGGAGTTGATGATGAAGCTTCGATCCAAGGTTCACTCAGTTTAAAACATTCCAAAAGCTGAAATAATTCCAATAATAAGTGCTAAATACAAAAGGGAAACTAGATAACACCAATTAATTATGAAATACAATCACATAAGAACTTTGGCATATTTGGTATTCTAACACCTCATGTGCTGAAGTATTAGGAGTCAAAGTTTTTCTTCTTGAACCAGTTCAATAGGTAAAGAGACTACAAAACAGGAGCTCAGCTTTTGGAAAGACCCAAGTGACAAATTATTTCATTGACATCTTTCCAACATGATCTCACATCAGTATGGAAACAATTTAAGTGCAATCAAGCCACTTCAATCAATGTCATGCCCGAAACTTTTCAAATCCCTTTTTTTTTTATCATGAAAAGGTATAATAAACCTTAATAAAATGGATATCTATTAAGGACAAAATAGAAAAACTGATAGTTAAGAGGTGTGATAAACAAAAAAATTTCCAATTCCATGCATAAATTGGTTAAGTATTTCTAGAGGGGATGTGCACGTCAAATTTTCAAAATAATGATAGAGTAACCCCGATTAAGGTAAATGCCAACCTGAGGGTTTCTTGAGACCCAATAGAGATCACCGTCAAAATCTCCACCACCCATTTCATCAGCCACAGAACGTGGACCTTTGCAAGAGAAGAATATAGCATATTTGGCATTTCCGACAACATATTCTAACTCCTTCACGTACTTGGCCTTTAAAACATGGATATCACCAAAGTGCAAACCTGGATGCCGGTACACTAGTACCTCTCCCGACATTTGTCCGCTGTCACTGCACACATCATTGGGCCGAAAAGAGGCCTCAAGCTATAAGTAAACTATATTTATTGACACTGAACTACACATAGATGAAGAACTAACATAGGATAATAAAGAAAGAAAATATGTATAGTAACACCTTCAGTAAAGAGATACAATTAAGCAAATACAAATCATACAATACCATATTATACCATATACTAGAAACAGTTCTACATGGAACTATTAGTTCATATATAATTTTTTTTTTTTGGGGGTAAATAGTTCATAATTCATTAGAACATAATATACATTAGTACCACTATAATTTTCAAAGCAAGAAAATAACAAAATTTGTACAGCATAACCATATAATACGATCTTATGGTTATGGCATAGATCAAAGAATTTCTGTGTTAGTTGTAGGTTGGATAAATTTTTTAACTAAACTACAAATATTGCGATTACTGATTGCTTCCAATACAAGTTATAACTTTACACCTTTAATCTAAGTACCATGTCTCACATAGAGATAACCACGCAAATGCATTCCTTCTATTACACAAGTTTTAATTCAAGCAACTGTATTTTATAGCTAATGGGGCATGGACCAAATGATTACAGCAACAATAACGTCACCAATATGAGCATATCGTCGATTACTAGCTCCTATGATTCGAATACACATCAATTCTCGGGCTCCGCTGTTATCCGCTACATTTAAATGGGTTTGAGAAATGAGGAAATTATTGTGCTATGCAATAAAAAGACATATAATTAATCTAGCTACAGGATAACAGATGGTAAACATATCATCAAATTCTTGAATGGATTTTTAACAGGAGAGAAAAAAATGCCAGAAATCATACATACAGGATAACGCAAACTTCATCTCTTTCCAGAATCCCTGTTGGATCAGTTGTCCCCATCAACATATAACTCTGAGGACTACAAATTTTGCCTTTTCTAAGACTCTTATTTTCCTCTTTCTTTAGAATTGACAGACGATATTGCAAATATGATTCTTCAAGAGGAATACCAGAAAGGATCATTTTTACCGAACTGTAATCATCATCCATCTCACCAAGGTTATAGGCAACTGAAAATACAGAAAATGATGGAAGGAAACCCATCAATAAATTCGAAATAGTGAAAGAGAAATAAGTGGAACATAAATGAAATAGGAAATGGCTAGAATGTTATTTAACCCATGGACAGATACCAAAGCAAGAAATTGGCTGCCAATTTGACCC